GGGTAGTTGAGTTTTTGGTTGAAGCCAAAGCCTCGTGTCGTGTACTTTGGCTTAGGTATGAGGTGAGAAACCTTAAGTTGTCGAAACTCCCGGAATCATCCTCTACGCCGTGTTTCACAACCTTATGGTCGTTTTCGCGCGTAAAAACTCTAAATATGAATATTTATGAATTAAGTGCCGTAACGCGAGGTCACAGAGCTGGGAATAAAATGGAGAAACGTGTACTACTGAAAAAAAAAATATTGTTAGAAGCTGGTAGGTGGAGCCCCCAGTCCGGGAAGCTTACAATAATATTAGTCACCTATCTACTGCAGCATAATAGTACACGTTTCAAAATGCATCGTTACGCTTTATTTACTGCTGCGGGGTAAAACTTAGCAGTTATAATGTTCAACGAGTGCAGTGTAAGAACTAAATAGGTGGACACTGAGCAGACTAGACGAGCAGACTGTCTGTAGGGGTTTTATGCAGATTAAAGCCCTAATGCTGCACTTTATTGCCAAATGGTTTGCACGGCGTTAATTTAGGCTGTTCCTGTTTGGACTTCAGACCACAAATGACCCATGCGTATTTGCCATAAATTCATTATTTGGAAAGCATCGGTGAACAAACTTTTTGCGTAATAAAACGCGTTGAGCAAATTTAGCCAAAGAAAATCAAAGCATATGAAACAATGTTTTGTCAAGCGAGTTATTCTTTTTGTCTCTACTTTGTTGTTTTTTTAATAAAACAGTGATAGACAAATAACTACTATCGCTAATCTTTCGTGCTTTAGTAAATTCAATGAGAATTAATTTTTTGAACGTCTTAATAACTACATAACTATGTTACAGCGGTTAAAAAATAACCAAATTGGTTTCCACCCTAGAAGATCTACTAATGCTGCTTTGTTTCCTCTAAGTGACTACACTAAAAAATGCATTGATTCTGAAAATTTTGTAGAATGTTTTCTTAGACTTCACTAAAGCTTTTGACGCGATTAATCAAGTACTGTTCGATAAAGTAGGGTGTTATGGCATAACCGGCCCTGTGCTAGCATTAAAAAAAGTATATACTTGATAGACAATATACTGTAGCTGGAGTGGACGCATTTTCGGCAACTAAGCGCATTAACCAGGCTGTACTACAAGGCTCGGTTTTATATCCTCTGCTTTTCATTTTGTATATTAGCAATCTTCCGCATCGTTTTGACTCATCCAATCACAATACTTGCATCATATACGTTGATGACACTATCTTATTGCTCCAATCTAGTGTTGCGCACGTCGTAAGACTGAAGCCGTATGTGTCACTCAACAGTCCACTTCCGTGACAAGCGCCGGGTCGGTGCTTCTACTTTGCATGGTAGTGCCACAAGGCAGTAGTGGGATTGGGGCAAAATGCGGTGGAGGATCCCTGTCTGGAAGAAACGACTGTGAAGTGGATCGATACTGGATTAAGTCATGGATTCTTGGCCGATCCCCCTGAGTGGGTGGCTGTGGATTCATCATCATCATTTTTATTTATTGATTAGTGCAACCTACATCGCCCAAGTGGGCATTATCATCATCATCATCATCTGATCCCAGCCCGTCAGTGTGCCAGCCGTAGACATCGCGTGTAAACATCGTAAATATGCGTAAATATACGTTTTCCTGTAAGATAATCTTCCCCTGATCAATCTTTTACTGTACTTACTTCAACGCTGAATATTGCATTGAGTAGCATTACGAATTGTTGGGAGAAATATATAATTGCTTTTATATCCTTTGAAAACAAAATATTTGGTGTATTATTCTGTTCAAGGACCCTTAACGGTAGTTCGTGAACTAAAAACTTAGGTCTCATTCTATACATTCTTGTGGGGATGTCACCTTTCTTGGCATACATCTTGACCGTAACTTCTCATTTCGCTGTCACGTCCACCATCTGAAGCAGAAGACTTCGTTTGAGATCCGTGCATTAATCAGACCTTGCCATTTTTTTCTAGTGACGCTTTGCTAGCGCTGTACCTTGCTTTCATTCATAGTCACAATAACTACGCTATCGCGTCATTGGGGAACATGTTCGCTTATCACTCGTCGTCAATTCAACACATTCAAAATTAGTCAATACGCATCATCACTTCAACTTCCATAAAACCTTCCCATGCCTCTTCATTACTCCGCTCTTAAAATATTTTGCCGGTTATTGAATTGTTCCAGTTCATCATAGTCGGCTTATTCCACAAACTTCTTCGTAACGACCTTCAGCTTTCAATGTCACGTGTTCTTTTGCACAATAGGAACATGACGAGATTTGCAGCTAATAACAACTTTTTTGCTCACAGTTTGTAGCAGTTATGGCAAAATAAAGAAAACATTTGCGTTCACTGTGGTTCTACTTTGGAATGATTTACCTACAGCTATCAAATCTCGCGTTTTCCTTGCAATCTTTAGGAATGACCTTAAACATCACTATCTTAACTAATTGTACTCATGTCATACCTCTACTCAAATTGACTTTTTTTCTTGTACCTTTGGTTTTCTCTTGCTGCGCTTTTCCATGTTCCACTGATGTATTTGTAAACGTTTTATATATTGCGTTTTGATTTTGCAACGTATTCCAAGCAATTGCTGTATTAGTTGTTGCCCTATAAATTTGTATAATTAACCGAGGATCCCACTGCAGTATTCTTGGTACCCTAGCCTGAAAAGTTTTCGATCTTGTCACATTTGTTTCAAAACAATAAATTGAAACTGACACTAAACTGAAGCTGAGCGCGCCAGTTTCACTTGCGAATTGCTCAAATAAATGTAAATTACCTACAAAGAACCCTAAAGCCGTGCAAAACATTTCTTAAGAGACCAATCTCAATTGTAATAAATATACATAGCATTTCTGTTGAGCTGCATTTTGTGCCGCCCTTTTTCACGTTGGAATTAACGGAGCAAATGCGATATCGCAATCATGAAAGTTTTTAGCAATGGTTGTTCAACCTAGTTAAGAGAGCAAGTAATTATAGAGAACGAAGTGCACAACTGAATATATGGCACTTGAACACTTTAAAAACGGCAAACCTTACTATGGCAGTGATCCCTTAGTGTCCACTAAATATTATTACTTATTACTTTTACGCTCTGTTCATCACAGCTCCTCACACCTTCTCTGAATGTTTTGCATGAAGGGTGCGTAAAAACTTGCCTGTTTGTGCAGTAATACGAACCGTGTCGTCGGAAACGGCTATACGAACGGCTGCTCACACGCGAAGACACCGAGTCACGTTGCTAATGGGCCTACTAACATGCTTAGTCAATCATTCGCACTGTTAAAATAATTGATACTGAGCATGGGTACGTGAACTAGTTGCGCAGTTTACGAAACCGTGGCGATGCCTATTACACACGTATAGCCTGCATGTGTTAGTGCGCATGTAACGCTGTACATAATTTGTCTGATATCAAATGGGTGCCAACTTTTGCGAGAGTCCGTGGCGGCTTAGAGTTAACGTCCTTCAGAACAAGAGAACAAGGTCGTATGAAGGTTTCACGGCCATGGAAGCTGCATTATTTTAGATTAGGATGAACTGAAAGAAACGTTAGTTTTCTGATCCTTGTGAAGATGGAAAATTCGTTCATGTGTTGAAATGCATTCCGTGGCAACATATTATGAGCTCCCCTAAGCTCTTCGTTTGCTCCTCGAGGCGAAACTACGTCAATCGGTATCGCTCGCTCAACTGTCGAACCACACACGTGTGGCACGAGCCAGAATGGTCCTGCCACAAATTTTAAGAAAAAACAACAACAAAGGTACTAACTAGCCTTAGATAAAGCACAGTAACAAAATAGCCTACCAGCTTAACAGTTTGTTAATCAAGTATGTCATAATGTTCGTAAAAGAAGAACTTTATTGGAGTCCTAGAAACAGCAAGGCTCATGAAAATATATTTTTGTACATCCCCTTTGTGGTTGAGCGCCATATTTTTGTACACCCCCTTTGTGGTTGAGCGCCATCCATATAATGTCATCGTCATCCTCATCATAATCACATCATCAAATGAACAAGCTCAGCTGTTCAATTAAAAAAACCTAATAACTTCTGTTCCACTAAGTCAACGAATGGAAAACTGATGTTGTTTCTAGCAATCATTGTTTGGTACACACTTGTCAACTGTTGAAAAGAAAAAAGCATTTGGACTACAGCGTGCGGCCGCGAGGTATATTCTTCGAATTTGTGGATAACTTTCACTCGATGGACCTCAATACTAACAGAGTCACGTGAATGGCATTTTCGAAAACAGTGCAAGTTGCCAAAAGTGTATAAGTTTAAAGTACACCAAGAACAGACATTTCCAGGAGTGTATAAAAGTCAGTTACTGCGAGCTTGAGTGGACGTTAGCCCATAGAAGAAGTTCTCATCTTATTAGGGAGTGTAAATCGGCAATGTCACGGTCGGGCGAAGCCAAGCATGCCCGAAAACTTTTATGAGTGTGAGTAGGTGTTCCCGCTGTGAAAAGCGATGATTGGGTACCCCTGACTCCGAAAAAGATATTTGAAAAAAGTATAGAGGAAGTGTTTACTTAACTACGCTAGTATATGTAGTGACACTCCACTTTTTCTCCAGAAAATGGTTACATTTTGGTCTAATAATTTAGTATACGTTGAATGCTAGTTTGTGTAGACATCGCTTAGGCGCAATAAATATCTGCAACTCGTGGTTCACAGTATAAAGGTGTTCAAAGGGCCTAGAAAACCGCAATGTGATGCCAATAAAAGAGAAAAAACTTCTCCCATAGTCATTTTGGGAAAAAACAAATTTTAGCATATTTTTAGCATGTTTTAGCACGATGTTCGTGAACTCCCGTGTGCAAGAGTGCGTTATGCTACTACTAAGTGCACAACGCATCGCTTGAAATTGCGATAAACAGTAAGAGCTTTATGCTTTCATTTTGACAGAAATGCCACAATTACTACAAGTACTTTTTTCGGGATTCCATCCAATTTTCAATTTATGTACCAACAGTTAAACGTTTGTTTACTTACTGTTTAAGGACGAGCAGCTTCTTAAGCTTATGCTTGAAGTACCACAAGTGGTGGTGGTGATGAGGCTCCGCAAAGTGCACCAACATCAGCAAGAGTAGAAGGATGAAAAAAAGGATGAGGTACTTGTTCCAGACCATTGCGTTCCGGGGCGAGATGAAGAGTCAACAGAAGGCCACTACCACGGAATCTACAGTCGCCGAAGGTTTGCCGCCGCGCTTCACTGGCGCTATCCGGTCCAGAGCACACAGGTTGCGACGACTCCACTCGGCTTGCTGGGAGGATCTCACCGCATACGTTGGTGTCTTCGAGTGGAATGACTGCGCGTCGGGTTCCGCGGAAGCTTTTTCTTTTCGCCCCTGCGCTACTGAAAGACGGTGATGCGTGTGGCATTAGGCTAACCTATATTACGCCTTCCCTCACCACTTCGCGTCGCCGGTAGGTATCGTAAGCACGTGTACGAGGCACAGAAAGTAGTGAAGGCGAGGAGGGCGGCGGGAGCAGGGTTCTTATCACAACAGCCCGTGCTCTGTGTCAGACGCCGCCTTCCGGTTCGACGAGTGGCATCGGGGACGCGCCTCGAATGAGACCGGTGGTGGTGGAGAGATCGCAGTGTAACGAAGGAGAATTAAAAAGAGTGAGAAGCACAAAACGTGCTGGCATCGGTGTTTGTCTTGAGTGCGTGCACGTGGTCACGTGGTAGATTGTGTGGCAGTGCTGTTTGGTTGTGGCCGTCGCCCCTCGCACCCAGTGGCGGCAATCGTTCGCCATGGTCCAGATTCTTGCGGCCAACCAGTGGACTCTCACGGCTTTTTTTCTTCCCTTTTTTGCCTGTGGTTTTTACAACCGATTCTTGATCTTCCCCTTCCTGCTTCGTTTGGTCTTGCGACTGACACGAAATGCAGGCGCCTTCGTATACATTCCTCCGGGACGGATATGCAGTTTCACTTTTTCGGCCCGGTCGGCTACCCTTCAAAGAGTCCACACCCCTCCGCTCCTGCTCCAGCCGTGATGATCCAGTTTTCATTCGTGCATTGAGTAGCGACCGCACTGAGAGATGAGGGGATGTCGAGAAAGAGGTGGCGCGGAAGGTTTCCAAAGAGTGGAAACCTCCAGGCTCTCTTAGCCGCCCCCGCTCTGCTACCGCGTTGCTTGCTGGTATTCAAGAATAGCTCCAGCTCCGCTGGCGTGACAAACCAGCTGTTTCGAAGCTGAGCCATTTGGTGTCGGTGGTTGCTCGACAACCGCTGTTTTGTTAACGGCGCTGATTTTCATTGTTGCGCGTGTGAATGTTGCGCGCTTGCGAGAGAGGGCATAGCTGCTGTTGACACTATTTGCCTTGGCACCGATTGACCACGCAAGACGACCAATAAGTGTGCTTTGGCGGATGCGCATCATATACACCAATACGTAAAGTTGAAGAAAAACGCGCGGCAACATTTGTTTGTGTGGCAAGAAAATACGCCGCTGTTTAATGAAAACTGTGCTGTAGTTTTTGTGAATGAATAAATTAAGGGGTGTCGGCAGAAACGTTTCAGATAGACGAGATTGGAGGGGGAGGCGTGTTTTCGGTAAGAAGTGGAGGCGGGGCTGGCAGGTGTGGTCTGGTGTTGGTTTGTGATCTGTATGTCATGAAAAAAAAATTCGGCGAGGGGGGGAGTGCGGACGTGTTATCCGGTAACAATGCCACTTTGTACGAACTAACTGTGAGCTAGGACATCGAAGTGCCCTTGCCACAGACGCCTGCTCCGTAAGATCGACACGATTGCGCTGTGTATTTGACTACCGCTGCACAAAAAAGATTCACCAGCCTTTTTCCTGCGTCCGTCTTATAATAGCGGAGTCCACGTTGGCCACCTACTGGAAGCAGAATGGTGAATTAACCGGCAATGAGGCCAACTTGTTGAAAATAATTCAACTTGTTTTGTTTTCTCTCAATTGCAACCACACTAGTAGCAAATCAACTATAAGAGCCAGTCTTAGATTTCCTTTGCTAACTTCACGTGGAAGTTCTAATTGTTTGAAAATATTCAGTAACACATACTTTCATGGCATTTCTTGTGACAGAATATTTTATCACTCAAGTCTATGTTGTCTCACATGGGTATATTTCATTTTTTTTCAAAAAAAAATTGCCCAGTTTTATACCGTACCTTGCCCTCGCCATGGAGTAGAACCACTTTTTTGCTTACATAAAATCATCTGACAATAATGAACGTTACAATGGCACTGAGTACCATTGTGTATACTGCTTACTTTGTCGCCGTTTATTCTTCCTATTGATATCCTTTGTATGTTGTTATTTTGTTGGCAGTTTTACGCATTCCCTGATGTAATGGCCTTGATCTTGAGAAAAAATAAACACACTATCAAAGACACTTCGCCAGGTTGGCAGCATTGAGGCATTGAGGCTTCTGAGAATATATGACTGTGACTAGCCGCAAAAAAAAAACGACTGTTCAAAGTATCAGGCCGTCCAAGAATACCCACTGTAAGAGTAAGCACTCACCATCGTATTCATGCGTCTAGCAACCAGCAGCAACAAAAGGCATCTCAACACGCAAAGCATAACTGCAGGTGTCGAGATGGTCATGCTAAATAAAACCAAGGACATCTGAGCTCATGCGAAAGAATCTACTTACAATGGATGAGGAAGAAGCAGCGGCGCTATAGAGAGCCTGAGCTAGGTCATAAAGCGCCTTCGTACGCTTATCCGCTCCATGCTCTTCCGTTCAAATACGTCACCATTGGTTCAATCTATGACATCGATCAGGTTATTTCCGTGTGGATTCACCGATACGTATTGAGCGCGCTATCATGCGTCTCGGTTATAAATCACAGCTCCCGCATCGGCAGTCGCGTAGCGCGAAGGTCGCATTACATTTATTTATTTCAATAATCTCAGGGGTCAGGGGCATTAAAGAGAGGAGGGGTGTAGTTCAATCAATAACGGCAATTTTGGAGGCTTTAGGTTCTTGGATTGCAGCAGCGGAGGCAGGAAGGTGGTTCCAGTCACTACTTGTTGGCGGTAAAAAAAAAACATGACAAGTGTTAGTGTGGCACCACGGAACTTTAAGATGATTGTCGAAGCGTGGTGAAAGGTAAGCTGGGGGAAGAAAAAGATCATTTTGAGTGTTGGATTTGCGTAAAGGATTTTGTGAAACAGGTTCACGCGGAAGTACTTACGATGTGACTCAAGTGTTTGTAGACCTAAGGTAGCTTACATGCTGTATAGCATCCATAGCAAGGCAAAAGTACGCGCACTTGTAGTATATAGTGCAGACCTATTTATTAAGACTGCTGAAATGCAGGAAGTTTGGTATTTTAGAAGAGTTTCTTGCTGCGCAACGTGGTACATGCCCATGATTGATGCAGCTTTTCAATCGGGGAGGATTGAGGCAGCTGGTGCATGTCTCCATTCTCCACCCTTCCGGATTACAACAAAGGCAAAGGCGGACCAGGAAGGTTCGAAGCTTGATCAGTAGGTGCACAAACGGGACGTTGTGTTCTCTCTGTTTCAGTTATCACACCCATAACAGCCGATAATTCGTTGCTGTAGAGAACTCTGTTTAAGAGTTTAACATGCGTCTTCTATACAAAGTCCAATGGTACAGGAGAAAAAGATAGGTCCTACTGAACCGTATGGTGTGACAGACTACTAACCTTCTGCAAAATTTGTAAGAGTTTTTCGGTACTACGCTTATGATGCCTAAGCCAGCCACATTCATTAAGCACGATTGCACCACGTATGGTGTCCTGACTCGTTATCTCCATCTCTTTCGTGATGAAAGTCCAGGAAAGCTTGATGACTCTGAAAATGAAGCCAGTGACGGACGGACTTCTAAGGGACGTGATACCAAGCGAGATAAAACTGTGCAGAGTCAGCCTGCAGATCACTGCCCTACACTGTCAGGACGGGCACGCTCTGCTCATCCGTGGCATACACCGCCTTTCGGCTTCGGCGACAGTATTAGAGTGCGTTGTCATCACACCAATGTTTACTACTGTTCGGATGGTATCTGCAAGGTTGCGAAGACTATCATCTCCAAGCCCTCTAGAAAAACGGTTAAAATTCTTTCTTACACGGCCTACATGCATTTCAACAGGCTCTGGAAAAATAAGGTTCCTTCGACAATGATCGCGCGCTTCACTGGCGCACATAGTTATCTGAGCGTTCATGTTAAAGATGAACTTCACGAGGTACTGCTAGCGTGCGTAGGTTTCCTGATTGTTTTCTAGCGTGCATGGAGCTGGTCTTGTTTTGCTCTTCCCATTCACTGTTTTCACCCTCCATATATCTGAGCACGTATCTAGTGTATTCAATAGCACGCGTGCTTAGTTAGGCTCCCACTTAAGAGTTCTTATATCTATTTCAATGCAATAGCATTTACCAGCCAGTACGCAAGTAGTAAAAAAAATTGCCGCCCGCATCATCCCATGGTGGGAACTCGAGTAAATGCGTCACAGACTGGTGGGAATATCGTTTGGAAGTTGAGTAAATGAATATGACTTGGGAATGCTTAATTGTTAATTATTGTTTATTGTAATGTTGATTGAATGAAGGAGAAGCGTTGCGTTCAACTTGTAGTGTGACGCTGATGTTGGTCGTATACCCTCTACTGGTTGAAGGTACTATTTCCTGCAATGCATGCACTCGAGCCAAGCGAAGCGTCTGTCAAACTAAAGCCAAGGCGCCCTTGACTGAATTCAGAATGCGCGACTTAGTGCATGACCAGTAAACGGTCGCGCAGCGCGAGCAGTCAATTTTTAACTAGCTAACGGTGCCGGCGTCAACCCTGCGAGGCGAAAGAGGGGAGGGGAGGAGTGACAGTCGGCACGAGACTCGAGCACGCGGCATGAGACGCAAGATGGGAGCATGCGCAGTGGGAGTGTGGACGGCACCACCGACGTTGGATCCTCGACATGGTGCGACTAAGAAATGCTCCAAATTTCAAAGGCTTGCCGACACGATTAACGCTATGGGATGCTATATGCGTGACTCTTACTGATTGCACAAGACTATTTACAACCGCTATTCAACTAAAACTACCGTGTAATTAAGATGTACTTGTATGTGAATAGATGCAAGTTGCCACAGAAAAACGTGACGACGTTACCCACCCTCCCACATGCAGCTACAAAGGTCTAAGCGTCTGATCTGAGGCGTCTGCAGACCGACACATTTGAGAATCCCCGACACCTGCATATAGACTGTGTCCCTCGCTCACCCGGCTGTCCGTGGTGCGGGCATGAGACAGCCGACATGGCGCATATACTTTGGAAGTGTGAGTGCGGTGTTCACCGCCACTACTCGTACGAGCGGAAGTGTACCCCAGGATGACTGGCTGAGCGGAGGCGAGCCGCCCTTCTCAGCCCACGTGCAGTGGACCAAATCTGGGCTGTCCAGCGAGCCAGGGTTATCGCCGAAGACATCGCACGATACTCAACGGACGACCGCTCCTGGAGGCCTAGCCCGGGCCAGTAATTCCTCGTTGGATCCTAATAAAGTTTATT